AAAAAAAAACGCGATATATTTCAGATTAAAAAACAAGATATTAAAATATACTAAAAAAATAGAATGCAAGAACAACAGAAGTTTTAAAAAATAATAATATTGTATATATAACTCATTAAACAAGATAAATTCTTGACATTTTTGATAAAATCCCACAATTAAGTTACCTCTGAAGTTTTTTTATTTAATTTACCATTCCTTAGATACTTACATAAAAAAAAACAAATGCCATGTGGCTTATAATGGCCAAGGTTTCCGATATGACGCCAGGAGATGATACTAATATCGGGGTCAATGAATATTAAACATTATTAACATCTTTTAAGACTCTATAGAAGTTGTTGATGGAAATTGAAATTCACAAATTATTTAAAGCTATAATTCTGTTGTTAGATTGATACTTTAAGAAATAATTGTAAGAACATTGCGATATTTTATGACAGATGTCATAATTAGTTTTAAAGATGGCGGAACTGTCAGATAACTAACATTAAATATGACGTTACAGATAAAAAAATATATGTACAAAAAGAAAATACAGATTAATGATGATAAAATAAAATTATTAGGATCTAACCGGTCAATGTATATCAATTACTTGTTCGGTGTTTTAAACATTTCGTAAGGACAGTTGTCATCGGTGGAATGAGATATTGAATACACTCAAAGCATGCAGGCGACCTTCCCAATACATCTGTCTGCGGATATTTTGTAAAAGTGTCAGGAATTCGAGCCGTTTGCGGACTCTAATTATACGTTTTATTAAATTTTAAATTACAAGTTCCGTCACATTCATAGTTAATTTTAAAATAAAAACTTTATATATGTATATAATAATCATAAGTAAGTACAAGTGAATCATATAATCGAAAATATACATAAAATATTTCATCTGGATAAAAAAAAATTCTTTGTGTTTGTGACATTTATTCATGAAAGTTTTTTTTAAATAACCGACATCAATAGAATACAGTTTATTTCATTCTGAGAAATATTTTCAGCTAAAAATATAAAATGTTAAAATATTTTAATTATTTTATAAATAGCTTACATCTATATATAACGCAAAAATATTTAACCATATTTGACAAGACCAAATAAAAAGAAGTATGTGCCATAATTTGAAAGAGTTATAATTTCCAAGAGTTAAGTCAAAGTAATCGGAATATTTAACTAGTGAAGCGACTCTGAGTTATTTTAACTTGTTAACCAATTTTTTTGGTAATGAAATTTATTACATATTTTAATGTTTATTTTTCTTTATATATGTTTTTTATAACTGTTAAAATATTTATTGATGAAGTATAGTTAAAAAGTTTTTTTTATTATTTTTACCAATAAACTAAGGTAGACGTGTAGTAAATGTTATTACTATACTATATTTTACACCCAGTTTTTGTCGCTTTATAACAATCCTATTGATTTCATATTAAAATATTTTTCGTGAAATCTTACAGATGTCTAAAAATTTTTATGAAATCACACAGCAAAGTAGTTATTGTTACTTCAGCTTGGATTCCGAACAAAACAAAACAAAACTACAAATATGTAATTTGCAGGATAAATAAAATAATTCACAGCCTTAATTTATATTAGAAGATACACAATATATCAAAAAATGTGTTATATAATAAAAAATGTGAAATCTTTATTATAAATGCAACGACATATTATGTTTTATAATTGAAACAGGTTCAAATACGGGCGCCTTCTGGCTCCTCGAGTGTTTATGGGCGGCGATGACTATTTCTCACCAGATGGCTTGCCCACTCGTTTGCCCCCTATGCTATAAAAAAAAATACACTATGAATGGTGGCTTACATTCATCGTCAATGTATTTTCTGATCATTGTACAATTTTTCTGAATAGCAACACTAATTAAAAGATTTTACAACAATGCATTGTTATCTGAAAGATATCACGCGTTTTAACAAAATTAATGAATTTAACAACGACCTTCAAGACTATTCCGTTTTTACAACAATCGAATTAAATGAAGGCTTGGGATAAAGTAAATGTATGTTAGAATTATATATGAATGTTAGAATTTATATAAGATAAATGATCACGGTATGTTAAATGGTAAATGAAATATAATATAAAAATACCTAAGTACCGGGTTTCAATTACAGATGTAAATTTTTCGCTCATGAACCTATGTTGATGAAATTAGTTTCATGTAAAGTCGTACATGTTAGCTCAAGCTCAACTAACGTGACTAAGGGCTTTTGGACTCAAATTTTCAGAGTATGTCCCATATCCCACTAGCAATCCTCAACTCTCTTTGATAAGAGTTGCAACTACACCTGTTGAAAACGAAACCTTTCAGCATTAATGATTCACCGTGCTGGTGCCGGGTCCATTGCGTTGCAGGGAGAGAAGCTTAAACATTTCCCGGGACTTGTGACCTAGGTGTTGGTTTAAGGGGCCCCCAGCTAACTTCACCTCCACCGTCCAAGCTCCTCTCCCCAAACCAAATTTGAAATGAACCTGCTAGGGCTGCCTTCGAAGTTCGTTCCAAGAATGTATTATTGTGAGTTCTGGTCAAGCCCAAGTCTTTTAGTAGGTTATAGAGAGATTTAGCTGTTATACCTTTTGCTCCCACTTCTACCGCGTATGAATCCACAGCGTACCTATTATAGTCAGTTCATTTGTGAGCTCGTAATATTTATTGACCTTGATGGTATGGTCTTTGGAGATGTTGATTTACCAAGAAACAGTCTGCTCTATTATTGCACAAATGCACAATGTCTGCTCTTTCGGGGCACAAATATCCTCTGGGATCTTTTATTGTGTCTCATAATTCATTACGCCATTTGTAACTATGTACATGTCATATGTCAGATATAAATTAAAACATAAAAGACACGTAAATAACCAGCACCCTAGCAAACGAAGTCATGGCCTGTCTCATTGTTAACCAAATTCGGTTATCTTTTATTTCTTACACCCAAACGTAGTTCTCGTTTCATATTACCATTGAATCATAACTGTCACTGGTGCAGATTTGAAGTTGTTTATAGCGCCATATTCAGTAAGATCAGTGAGTTTTATTGCTTGAGATAATGTTAAAAATGTTATTGCATATGAACCTCTTACGACCTTTTATGCTTTATAAGCCTCGTGTTTTCCCTAAATGAGAGAGGCGTCTTAGAATGTGAATGAATTATTTTGCATCTGAATAGAAATACCTTACCAAATATGTTCTAACTTACAATGCGAGTTCATTTTTATTGATAATACAGTTAGTCTGCACGATGGGTCGATCAATAATGACACTAAACCTAAGTAAATATAGCTGAAATAAGTTAGGAAATAGACAAAGCTGTAATTAAGTTAGGAAATGTTAGTTTTAATTTAAATAAAATTTCGCTCTTACCTACTCGAATTCATAGTTTAGACCTCTATCGATGTTGCCATTTTATTATTATTGTTATATATAAAATTAAGTGACATATTTATCTGTGTACATTAACATAGAATTGAAGCTTTCATTAATCATTAATCCTTTAATTTGTTAAAGCTTGTTAGACATGAAATACTTTTAATTTTACTCGATTTTCAATCAAAATCGTATGAAGATGGTTGTCTCCCAGATGTTATGTTATAATCATATTTAATAACTTTCTTAGCGATGATAACCCTATCTGTAACGTCATTACTAATAAGTTTTTACTGTTTTTCCAACTCAAATTTAATCGTAAAGGTCGTATCAAATCAAATACCGTCATTACCGTTGGGATTACAATAGATTTTAATCAGATGTACATACGTCACAAGATGTTAATACAATGACATTTTACCGGTTGTCTAAGAAAAATTATTATACACTTTCATCTAAATGTTTTACGTAGTATTTACGTGTCAAAGTAATTTACAAAATTTCGCATTTATTACAGTAGTTTAAATAATTAATTTATTTAAAAAGATCTTTGGGTTTTTCCTTTACATCCAACGCACCTATAAAAATATTTGCCAATTATTTCATCTTCATAAGGTGTACTATATTATCAGATATGGATTTTAAAGGACTATTATAAGGAATCCTTGATCATGGTGAACGTTCCGAAACCTTTCATCCGTCAAGTGTAATGTATCTCTTGCATGTGAATAATTTATAACTTCTGAACGCATTCTAATTGAATTACTTTAAGTGGTGTTGCAAAATGATCATTATCAAATAATAAACGATAACTTTTGATTTGAGTTGTGGGACAGCTTTGATAAATTAATTAGTTTCAATTAAATGTCTGAATCAAATATACATATATACATACCAATGTAATAAAAAACATAGCTATTCCATACTATTGCTAGCTTTTTTTGTGTATATGTGTAAAATGTGTATATTTTAATAAGACAAGCAATTCATTGATCAAGGTTAGAACTTTTATCCATTAATAATGATGGTATTCGTACGTGGTCGTCGTAATTATTGAAGGCTATTAATAAGATAAATATTTGGACTGTTTTATAAATATTTAAATCTATGTTAGCATTTAGAGATATGTATGTACTTATATGTATACTCGTCAGTTTTTTACTATGCAAATTTTCATTGTTTCTTTTAAATTTTAACCATTAAGCCTTAAACATTTTATCAATTTACTAATTGTTGGTAGTAAGAATAACTTCGTAGTAGGTTCGTAGATATTTGATGTGTTTTATTTTCTAACCAACAAATAGAATAAGTAGTTTTAAAATGTCTACTTTATCCATGCTCGCAAAATAAGCTAAGTGCGTACATATATTCTGACGACCGCGACGGAATGTAAAATTGAGACAAAAAGGAATTTACTATAATTTTTTACTCTCGAAGTTTTAGTTACTTTGTAGCAACTGTGATCAAGGGCCTACGAACTCAATTTCATCTCAAAATATGAAATAAAATTGTTTTATTTCAAAGAATGCTCGCAAAAATTTTATTTCATTACAATTTTTTTCTAAAAATATTACAATTTATCGTTTAAAAACATTAATATTATGCCATTTTCTCCATCATGACAATATGTCAGTTGCCAATTATGACAGATAGTCTTTTAGTTGTTGAGACGAAGGTGCAATCTCTAGAGTCATTATGCTCGTATTTCGTGATAATTGGCTTTAAATGGGGTACTAGGGTACTAAACAATGGCTTTATGGTTGCCAGTTCTGTAAAATAAATAAACTACAATTTTGTAATCACATGTACAGTAATGCAAAACAAAATATGTTCTTAAATTGAGCTAGATCTTTATAAATGTGACGATAGGAAAGACTTAAAGGAAGATGCAGTAAAGATAATTCTTGGTTGTGTTTTAAAATATAGACGTGTTAGATATTAAAACATAACCGACCCTGATTTGGAATATAAAATATATATGGATTTTTCATATAATATATTTATGTTAGTAGCAAGTTTAAGTTACTCTGCCACCAGATGACAATAATATGTACGGAAGATCTAATTCGAAAATCGTTAATATAATTTAAAAAAAACTTAAACAAGGAGGTTATATTGGAACATTCTTATAAAAATACGTTTGAGAAAAATTAAAACCTATCCTAAGACCTAATAACCTAAGAAATAGTAGGTACACTTTCATAAAGTATATTATGTATATTGTAATTTTTATATCTCACGCGATCTTATACTGTGGGAGAAAGAATGACCTATATTAATAATATACGATCCCGGCTGGAGATACGGAACCTCATTTGAGTTCAAATATCTTCCTTGAACGAAAACCTTCTATTAACAGTTCTGTGGTCACAATATACTGGTATTTCAGATGAAGAAATGTTATGAGTTACAACGCAATGACGGCTGAATGTGTTGACTTATATTATCTGTTGTTGTAGGGTGGAGGGCGCCGCGACAGCGGGGAGGGGGCCTGCGCGTGCGCATGTCCCCCCCTCACCGCGCCGCCCGCCCCTCCTCACCCCTTACGGGCCCTGGAAGACATGCCGCCCGTACTCAGGTACGTAATAATATCACAATCATAGTTACGATATCTTTTACTCGAGGTAATGAAATATATTGTGAAAATTTCTGCCTCATGTCTCAACATAATATGGTTATTCGTAAGTTTTTGTAATATATTAAACTTATATGTTTAAGAAATATGTCAATGATCTTTAAATATATGATTTTATAACAAATATAATGATATAATATTAACACTAACTCGCATGGTTCAGCGTGGAGGTTTCTCCTCTACCACTTTCCTGTGCGGGGTATCAATTACAAAATACTTAGTGTCTATTCAAGAGCACATTAGTAATTTGCCTTCAATGTAATTGTACATTGAGATAAACTTCATATATATACGTATTTATTAGAGCAAGATGATATAACATCTCATATCCTCTGTATAATCACAACAATTATTTTACTCTTCTGTGTATATTTTGTTTCCCAACAATCCATCAGATGCGGCCGATAAGATGTAAATCTCTGAATAATAAGAAGGTTGCGTCATTTTTAAGGCTGTTTATTCTGTTTGCCTTTGATCGTAACGACAGTATATTGCTTTGTGGTATAACATTCATATTTGTGGTGAAAAATGATTTGGAAAGCTATAGTGGTGCTATAAAGGAGAGGCCTAGTAAGTGTTATAAAAGCTATCAATAAATAAAGCTATAGAAAATAACTCCTATGTGGGGTTTTGAAAATGTCGTAGTTGAAACGATAATAATAATTTGCTTTAATTTTATTTTAAGTCAAACAAAAAACACTAAAGATCAGGGAAGTGACATTTTACGAAACATCTATTAAATATGAACAGGTATTGAAAATTTAAACAAAAGAGAAAGGACGGGCAATTGTTCGTCAACAGAATATGATGTTTATGATTTATTCAGGATTCTTCAACTATTATTATATGTAGACCTTATTCCATTCAGATAAAGTATATTTTAGCATACCTTTAGTGAAACCAGTTATAAGTTCAACGACTTGGCAATGACTCTCAGTGATTTTGCATGCGTTGTGCATATCTAGATTTAGTATAGCTGTTACACGCATATACTTGGCGACGCATCATCTCATCGATTACAAGCTGATCTTTATAATATAAAGTACTATAATAATTCGTTGCAAGCTGTTGAATATAAACATGACACGAAATTAACGATGATGCAACACAGTTAAATAAAATTCGTTTCGTTGTAATCGCTTCCTCGTCGAGATGCTGTTAATTGTGGTTGACCAATCTATTGAATTAAATAACGTTAGTTAGTAAATCAATTGAACTCTTAACATTTGAGTGTAACTCTTAATAAGTCTGTCAGGTTTTATCTGGACAGTTTCAAAGAAATATTTGAAAAAATGAAACAAATATTATCAGTATTGTAACGACTTATATCTGGTTGGTATTTTAGTTAAAATTTACAGGTTTTTTTTATCCATTTGTACTAGATTGGTCGTTTATGTTTAGCAAATAATGATTAAGTATTTACTTGATGAGCTGTTTATAATTTTTGTGAGGTTTATTCAATGTTTCATTAGGATTTGAAGCATATATTTGATATAATATTTGTTTATAGATCGAATCCGTTGTACACGGAGGAAGAGGAACAAGAGGTTGTCATCATAGTAGACTCGCTGGAGTCTTCAGAAGACGTTGAACCAGCCAGGGTCCCTCGAAGAGCACCATCCACGTCTTCTGGTAAGACTGAGACAGAAATTTGGAAACACTAATAAAATAATAATCATGAAATTGTAAAGAGATCGATATATATTTAATACTCTCTTAGGCCTCGGCCTCGAATCTCGCGGGTAGCGGGGCGGCAGCGGCGGCGGCACGAAAACGCATACATTTCTCCGTGCCCGTTGCCCGCTAGTTTGGAGAATAGTATGCGTTTTCGTGCCGCCGCCGCTGCCGCCCCGCTACCCGCGAGATTCGAGGCCGAGGCCTTAAGTATATATTTATGTATGTATAATCTTTAGTTAAATCTCGAAATATGTTTCATTTAAAGTAAGGTAGAGAAAAACTCTCAATAATATGATCGGTGAATTGTCAGAATTAAACAATAAGAATAATTCCTTCATAGTTCATTGTTTGTCAAATATATAATCAGACACTATTAAACAAAATAATTTTTTAGAAAGCAATATTACGAAACCGTAGCATGTTTAAAAATTTAAAGAATTGTGAGAATATGTAGTGACTAGTGTTATGTCTTTGTTGTGTTTTATAAAGGATGCTTAATTGTTAAGCCATATTTTTATTTTTATTAAATTTATTTCGGTTAACACACAAACAAGTGGTCACCGCAACATGGCCTTGATTGATCGCATATTTTAGCCAAAGAAAGCTTATGCCAATTGAATGCAAAAAATGATCTGCTAATTGAAAAATTAAAATGTTTTACACATACATATATGTATACTTTAGGGAATTAGACCTGGTTCAATTAAACAATATGACGTTTTATTTCTTATAAATATCGGTAGTGAAATATTAGAAAATAAGCATCTATTCAAAATAAAGCAGGCTACGGCAGCGGGGGCGGGAGTCATGGCCGTGTGTCGCCAACCTTACCAAAGACCGAGCAGTATGAAACGCAGCCGATACGACTGAACGACAAAATAGATGGATCAAACACTTCAGACTCGGACGCCAGCCCCTCGTGCACACTGTCGCGGAGTCTGAAGGACGATATACGAGCCTGTTTGGGAGGTTGCAGGTAAATTAGACAGCATACCAATTATTATTTTTTTTATTTATATAAGGACAACTAACAAAACATATACAATTTATAAGTTTTTAAAAAATAAAGAGAATTACATTTTTTCTAAGTGATGTTTCAGTTATAAGTTATCACGGCTTGGATTTTTTTTTCTACTTCAATTTTACAAAAGGGGACATTAAAATTATACAACATTAAAAATATACAAAAAGAACTAAAATATAAAATAAAAAAATTAAAATTATACAGAACCTAAACGACACAATATAAACTTGATCGATGTGAAAGACTGGAATGTGATCCTTATTTTATTATTTTCAAGTAACAATTAATAGTTTATAGTGGGCGATTTAAAACAAAATCCCGATTTCCACACACAGCTTAAATTTACAAGCGACTTCCAATACTCTATATATGTAATTACATATATAATAAACTTATACAACTTAATTCCCATTCTTATTTTATGCCATAGTTACCATTAATATAATAATTGAATCGTTTTATCAGGGAATTCACAGAGAAACCGGCTGTGCGTTGGGAGAAGGACATCACTCATGTCGTTGAAGCAGCAGTTCGTGGTGCAGGTGGGATTAGTGCTGCACGAGCTCGTCTTCATGCTGCATTACTGGCACTGCACGAACCCAATAATAGGACAACACTACCCTACTGTGGAACCGGTGTAAGGCCGGGAGATGTCACTATGATGTCCAAAACACAGTCGTATCTGGTAAGTAGAATATGTATTGTACGAGCTACACTCGACATGTAAATGGATGTACCATTTTTGTTTCATGTCAAAATTATGATTACTTAGTGTTTAAACGAAACTAATATTTTCAGATTACGCGTATTTTATTATTTTAAGTACATATATCATTCACTCCCATAATATATTTCTATAATATATCAGGTAGACGAATCTAAAGAGTATTATTAATTAAAAACATTTTATTAAGCTTGAAAAATATCAATAACTGAAATCTTTTGTCATCAGTGCTCTTAATATAGGTTTGCGTTATTAGGATATATATACAGATTTCAGTTATTCTTAAAAATCGACGATATTTGTATGTGTATATTTATTTATATAAAATAATTATAGACCTGACTGACGTTTCTTAACACTATTATGTAGGTGTTGCTATAAAAAATACATTAATTACTTACAAATAATATATAATGAATTTTGAATAATGCGAGAGTAATAGAGGACCATTGACTTAAAAAAATCCTTTACGAAAATTCATTTTATATTAGAAATGATTAAAAATGAAAAAGGTTATTTGTAAGTTGAACCAATGCATAGTAAGGGAATTAAAACACAAATGGAAGTCATATAATACTAAGCAGTTAACTATCCTTAGTGTAAGCTAACATCGTCACTACATACGTAGCGTTAACAGTTTTTCATTTCATAAATCTTCATACATTATAGTATTAACGTAGGTTATTTATTTAAAAACGCACAACGCTTCGTATGTAGTAATTACGCGCCCGTCCTTACGTTAACTGTTTTTAGAACCACAAATCAAAATTTCATGATTTATTTGTTGTTTTCATTCGGTTCATTACAATATATCATAAATATTACAAGACAAAGGTCACTCGCAAATCTTCTATTAATACTAAATTTAATATATTTTGAAAGGTGAGCCGTTTCAAATCCTCGCTTGTCTAATTATCGCTAATTCACGTATGAATGGCATAATTGTGATTAAAGTTTACATTATTTGACAAATAAATAGATTTTAACGTTTATTTAGGTATAAAATTTATCAACAGTTAAGTTTTTATTGTGATTTTTATGTGTATGTATATTATTTTATGACACTGAACTAAGATATGAAACTTATCTTGTAAGGTTTATTCTTCTGTTAACATAATTATATATGTTGGATTTTTTTAGGAGTTATTCGTAAAATAATTCTAGTCAGTTAAAAAACAAATAAAATATCGAAGTATAGAATGAAATACGTAGAATTATTTTTCTATCATATAATCGTTGACACGTACCCTACATAAACTAATAACAACTTAAAAACTGTTCTTTAACTAAAAAACTTAACCAATATTTTTCTCGTACTAAAAATACCAAAAACTAAATCTTTATGATGCGTAACATCCATTGGTGAGTGAGTTGAATGAGAATTGATTCTTCAGAACGTATCCAGCAATGAATGCATATAAAGTTGTTCATTTTGTTTCTATCGTAACACCCACAATTTTACGCCTACTTTATTCAAATCTATATTTAAACCATTTAAGTTAACATAAATATAAAATATGAGGTTCTCAATATATATCTGTGGCCTTAGATTCGCTTAAATAGTAGCATTTTGTTATTTAAATGTCATGATGTTAATATTTATTTGGTTAATTAAAATGAACGAAAGGTTCTCAAGCAGGATTCAAGAATGCTTGGTATATTACAATAATTTCGTAATTATGAAGAATAGAAATTCTAGAAGCATCGAAAAGTTCTGAAGTGTTAAAAGGGTAAGGATAAGATTGATAAAAACAGAATTTACTGATATACTAAAAGTATTAAACACTTAAAAGGTCAAAATATATCTGTTAATAGATAAAAATAATATGATTGTGGAATTTCATCAAGCATAACGTTTACCACAATTCTATATTGACAACCTGAAAACTGACAGTTGACAACTGTCAAGTTATATAATACATTTATGTAAAAAACAAATTAATGTATAACTATACAATAATATCCTACATTCATAGAATCATACAATTATAGATCTTCTAATACATCTATAAGGATTTGATTTTGAGGACCGTTGCCCTCGGGAACTTCAAGCCAAATTCAGAAATTTAAAGCTACGATCCATAATAGAGCATTCACTGTCTTCAATGACATAGTAAAAACTTCTTGCTAACACATATGTTCAAGTAAAAAAATCTAATAAAATACGCGTAGTAATTCGAATATTATTAGTTTCATTTTAAAAAGTCTGCTTAGTCCGACTATACTTTCTAAAGTGACGTAGTAATATCAATTTTTTTAAATTACGTTATATTGAGACTATTCTTCTTCTTCCTGGTAATTTCCCGACTTTAGCCAGGGTCTGTCTTGCGTGTTATAAATAGTTTTGGCTAATTGTTTTTAAGACCGGCCGCCTGCCTGACATCAACCCTCTTTGAGAAATATTGAGAATGTTGTTACTATTTAGTTATAGGCAAGAGCTTTCATCAATTTCACTTTCCATTTATATTTTCATGATTTTCATCCATGGTTTTTTTCTTTTGCCATCACCATTAAATGTGTCAGAATTCGTGTGACGTGTCGTTTAACGGGACAAATATCCGAAGACGCATCTTAAGATTTATATAGAAATGTTAATGCTCTTCGAAGATAATGAATAAAGACAATGCAGATCAAAATATTATTAATTTTCGTGTCCTGAGAATGTCTCAGTTGTAATTATCATATATTAGCTCTTAAGTGGGTCATTGTTGCTGTGGAAATAATTGATAATAGGTAACGCATTCCTCTCAGAGTCACGATGTTTTGTATACGATATTTTTATCTTCCTTTCCATTATTATTTATGTACAAATCTTTATTGATAACATTGGATAAACTAAATTAAGTTTTCATCCACTAAGCGTTTTTTATTCTTCTATATCTACAAAACGTTATTATTTAGATGTAAAATTAAAAAAAGTAAATACATATGTAGGTAAATCCGTGAACGATAATCTTAATTAATTGATAAGAAAATCAGTTGTACAGAGCTACATTATATAATAAAAACATTTTTAAAGTTCTCTATATATTAATTACTGTACGTATAATACTAAAAACGAAGAAATTATTGCTAAATTTGATACCATATGAACATACAAATTCCAAAGAAACACCCTTCTTATTAATATACATCAGAGATGTGCAAAAAATATATTTGTTATTCTGAAATGCACTTTAGTCCATTTGCCTCCTAACATGCAAACGAATTATGACCCTATTCTGTGTGTAATAAGGACTAGTTATGTAAGTGTAAGTTATATGCAGTGCATTGCTAAATTCCGCTCTTGAACTACATACATGGAAACATGGTGTTGGGTAATTATAAAATATGTTAAACAATAATCATCCTTATTGTTATGTACACAACTTCTACGTCCCTATTATTAGATGACGAGCAAGGTGTATTACTAATAAGTGCTTAGAACAATAAGTTCAGATTCCTTTTATTAATTATCTTAATTTCATTTGAATGGCTAGAAGAATAAAATTTAATAAAATCGTGTCTCCTTTCGCGTGCGTGCATGCATGCGTGCTTGAGTGCTTGTGTATATGTGTGCGTGCGTGCGTGCATATGTGTTTAATAGCCCATATAGTTTTATATAGAGAGAAATAATAACAAATATTTCTCATCCGATGGTTATCCACAAAATTGGAATCTATTTTCACTTCCAATGGGATTTATTTACCTTTAATAAGAAAAAGTTAGAAATCATAATCATCATGTACTGGTTACGAGTTATCATACTTTAAGGTAGCGATTTCTATATAAAATAGTGAAAAATGAATATTTGAAAAATTCTCTAGGATGGTAAATAAAAGTAATTGCATGTAAAATAGTTTTCCGAGCATAGAGGTCCATTAAAAGTAAAAGCATTTAGAAATGGTTCATTACTGTCGTGATACATGCACACACACACAGACTCACACACACACACACACACACATACACATAAGGAATATACATATATATATATATATATTCCTTCCGTGTGGTCGCTTCTTATATTCAAAACACGTTCCCTTGCAATATTGTCTGCGTTGTCAGAGCTTTTGATAAAATCTCTGGTACGCTTGTAAGCTGGTTAAGTTCAGAATATAATATAAAAAGGAGTTTCATGAAATAAATATCGATGTGGTTTACAATTATTATATACGATTCTTTAATAAACATAATTTAAGTTGATAATTTTTAGATTCGTTTTGAAATTGTCTATTTAACTTTCTTGTTCAATCTCATATACAGCAACGAAACAGATGATTACTATTCGAAAAATAGAATGATTAATCCTAAAACCTAATTATTCCTTTATCCTATTAAGTTGTTTTCAAACGAAATACTGTCCGTTTAACGTTATTTCATTAATTCAATAAAAATAGTAAGATGATTATTATTTCTCTATTCATATTGTCGTATTTGATAAACTTTATCTAAATGTATCGAAGTATGCTCGAGGCGATTTCGACACCACACTGACACTTTCGTTTAGAATTATGTTATAATCTAAATATATTTGAACAGTCATTTAAAAATTATTATAATACTGTTTTTATAACTATTATTATACATTAGATAATTTTAACTCTTAGACGAAATAAGAGTTGTTGCGTAATATTAATTATTATTTTGAAAACATTATGCTAATTTAAATTGTAATTGAATTAAAATATTTTTTATTTTTCAACTATATATAATAATTCATTTGTTTTCTATTATATGAATAATCTATTAAAGTATTTTTTCTCAAAAATCATTGTCATTAAAGCAACGTTTATAAAGAAACAAAAAAAAATATAAGATTAAACAAAGATCTACATTTTCAAACATATGTTAAACGAATTATTTGGTCGTTAAAAATATGAAGAATATAATATTTTTTACAATTAAGATTATACATATGAATAAAACTAGATTTATATGCACAATTAAAATGCAATTTTTCGTGGAGTCGAATCGTTGAG